CTGCTGAACTAAGAAAGTAAAAGAAATATTTTGAGATGGTCTGTTTCTTGTGATTTATTCATGGCATTCAAATTTGCTCTATTATTACAAATAAATCCTGTAAGTAGGTTTTGACTATAATGTATTCTAATTTGTGGTTATTACACTATTTGTAAATTTATTACTTCAGACTGCAGATATATGGGTTACCAGCAGGGAGTCTCAGTGTGTTTTGTATGACTGTTCAAGGACACAATGTTGAACTTAGAAAAGACTACATAAGAAAAAGACACAGTTTCTTCTGACTCCTATATGAAAGAAACAGAAGCTGGTCAGCTTACACACTGGAATGAGTCAGACCCTAGACCTGGCAGTTACAGTCTTAAGTCTGAAAACTCCTCTTGTTAACTTGTATATACAAGTTCATGTCCAGTTATGCGATTGTTAGTGAATACATATAACTTACAGTAGCTCACTTAATTTTGTTTTCCTTGAAAATATTCCAGATGATGTCTTGTTAAAACATGTAATACCATACTGGGTTTTTTTCCATGTTATAGTAAGTTTTTTAAAAAAACACTTATTTTTAAACAAATAGTTTCATTATTCTTGAAGTAGAGATGAATAATTTTGTTGGGCCTTTACAGATTGTTCAGAGTTCGTTAGCTTTTAGTTGCAGAAAGAAGTAAGAAATTTGTCAGTTCTGTAAGTAATCTGGTGATTACCCTTAAGTGTATGGATGAATAACACTAACCTAGAGATTTAGCTAAGGAGTTCTTTATCTGAATGTATTTTTTTAACTAGTTTAAATCTTGTGCGTATATTCTCAGAACTGTGTAATGTTGCTTTTAGCTTTCCAACATTTCAAGTAATTAGAATAAAATTGTATCAAAAGAAAAGAGACATAGAAATTCAGTTGTCTTCTCCACGGAACTGCAGTAATTCTGTCTTTAAAAGTTTGCCATACAGATACGATAATTTCAATTTTCACTAATTTGGCTGTTGTTAATTCATACCAACCTTTCACTGTTTTTTAAAGCATACATACAAAGCTCTTTTCTGTATTGGTATTAACTTGATTTATACTTTCTTCTGGCACAGGCGATCTTTTCATTTATGGCTATATGTTGCCTAGAACTTTAAATACCCCACAGCTATTCCTGAAAGATCAGTTCCTTTTAATTGCATGTACTCCTTGCCATTCTAGATAAGGCTCAGATATAGTGTGTGATCAACAACATCTTAGTCTTTTTCATAATGCCTTTACCACATTATTCAGGCTTATTTGGAACATACACTTACTAAGGCACGGATCTGTTAATTTATAAGCAGTATGTTGAGCATGTCTACAGAACTGCAGTAAAGTTTATAGTAACAGAAATGCCAACATTAATGCATTAATTGCCTAAAAGTGAAAGAAAATTTTGAAAATCAAAGATTTTAAAAATTGTTCTCCCCTCTGGAAATACACCTGAGCTGAGTGACCTAAAAAAATACCCTGTGTTTTAAACAAGAAGTTAGCTATGTCTTATGTCATTCCAAAATATCAGTTGTCTTCTATGTTAAAACAATGGAGGAAGAGGAAACGGATAATATTGTTTTCATTATTTGGATGTTTTCTTATCACAAATGTGATAGGTAGTGCTGTATGAATAAGCAAGAGAACTCAATGATATTAAATGTTCCAGCAACAGGTGTTCTAAGTCCCTACTCATATATTTTTGCCTTTTAGAAGTAGAATTGCAGCCAAACTTGAAATTTAGCAGTCCTGAACTTTGTGATTTGTCATTGCAGCTAGGGCTGTGGTTGCTTAACAGCTGGTTTACTGTTGATAAGTCTTCTCGCAAGTCTTCCCTCTCTCACCCTCTAGTAAGTTAAGTTAATGTTCATACTCTTTAAAAGATATCTTAGAGAATATTGGCTGCCATCACCAAGTGACCTCTCTAGTAGTTATTCAGGGATAAATTGTGCTTCAATGTAGATCTGTCTTCAATTAAATAGATGGAGTTATTTCAGTGAAGTAGCTTCAAATGTTCAGAAATAAAATTGCATAAAGGCTTGATAGCTTGACAGAAAAGAGATTTGCGCAAGGTCTGGAATAGTACTGCTGAAGATGGCCAGCAGTCAGTTTTCCTGCCCACAGAGCAAGAAGTTGCTCTTCCTCCCATGATGCCTTTCTGCTTGTCTTAAACTGGCAAGCTCCCTTCAGCCCAGATGATTCTGTTTTCAATTCAGTTGATGAGGTCTGTGCCCCATAAGCTTTAGAGCCAAGTCATGTGCTACAGTTCACATACTTGCTCCTCAGATTTTTTTTCCATAGTATTATGTTCTCAGGAGAGCTTGAGATTTGGTATCTCCAGGCTGCTTGGCCGTGCACTGAGAAGGACAGCTCTGCTGACTGTGAAACTGGGGTTACATGGCATTTCTCCTGGATTTATAGAATCTAATCTTCAGGTTATATACTATCTGCTCACTCTAGGTTGATAGCTTCTCAGCCTAAGCTGATTACACCTTAGGTGAATATAACCCTGGAGTTTGAACTCTGTTAAGGCCTGGAATAGCTTGGTTGACAACTGGAGAACTGAAGCTATAATTTTACTTTTCTTGAATGTTTTAAGTATCAATAATACTGTGCATATGAAAACATAGGTAAGAGCAGAATCTGGACTTGTGCAGTTCAGTGTAAGTATAGTTTTATTGTCTTGCTGTTATGCAGAATTTGTAGATTTTGTGAATAATGTGTTTGAAGAAACATGACAATTAAACTTGTTCCATGTACTGACCTTTTTTTGTTTAAAAGC